CGCCGGTGTAAGAAAGTGCTCATGAACAATCCTTGCCCGTGCAGTCCCCACAGGCCGAATGGTCGGGTGTTGTTTGCCTTTAGCTTGCGGACGTTTTCTCAATCTGCAATGAGGTGGCAGACGTGGCTGTGAATGCTGCGACTCGCGGATGAGCGAAGTCGCTCATGGATCGTCATTAATGAGCCCCCGGTTCACTCTTCGCGACCGCTGTTGCGGCATGCTGTGTCTAACAACAACAACAAAACACAGCCAAATACAAGCGCGGCGGTTGTTTACTTGAGTTTGCAACCACTCGGCCTTGAGTGCTCTAGTCCGTGGGCCGAAGCAAGGGTTGGTACAAACCTCGTTAAGTGGCACCGGCTTTTAATTTGCAGAGGCTCAAAACGGGTGGGAAATTTGATAAACCCCACTCATTTCATGAGGGTTGTCTCAGAATCTGGCTGTCGCCTGATGATGCTGGTCGTAATTACCGCCGAAACGTTGCGGAGCTCGAATTGTAACTGTTGTGGTGGGTTCACTCTCCCACACACCGGTGTGCTGCACGAGTCACTAATTGATGTGTTTTGTTCACACGACAAACCTTAATAATTGGCTGTGTCCGTGGCGGCGGGTTTAACGACGCATTTATATGTACTCGATCTAACCCAAAAACCTCTGTTATGGATAATATTGGTCGCGAAAGCCTACTACTACTAAGTGTTATAATCACAGATTGGATTCGTTTACCGACTCGAGCGCCTCACTGTGTGGTGTTTGCACTTTCTCTGATATTGGGCAAGCATCCCAAATGCTGGGAATTTTACTTGCAAATTACTCAATTGGGATCACACGCAGCAGTAGCAGCAACAACATCGCCCCCCCCCCCCCCCCCTCACTGGGAAAACCCGGAAAGACCATCCTGGAAAAGGAGTCTTGAGACTCTGAGGCTTCCCTGCGTAATCAATCGTGATCATCGTAACATGAAGAAGAACAGCACAGCGCGTTCACACTGTGCTGAACGGCAAACTGCACGCGGACACAATCCTCGAGAATGGCAGTGACCGACGAAGCGGGCTGGGTGCCTCCTCGCAAGACCACGTGGGTGGCTGTGACCGAGCACTGAGAAAATTCTACTGAGATCTTGTGTGGAAATCTCCGGCTCCCACGGAAGGTTGAAAACCAAAGCTCTCTTACGCAGAGTGCACGGTCAGGTCTGGCAATCTGTGTCTTCAGCGTATCTCACCTGAGCGAAGCACTCGTTTGCCCTATGAATAACAGTGTGCAGTAATGTATATCGGGTTTGTAAAATGTACAGGACGGTAGGCCTCCTGTGTCTTTGAAAGCCATTCCACGACGGAGTGTGTGTGTGTGTGTCTGTAGGGGATTGTGGGGGAAACGAGACGTGCTTTGTTCTGCCACGACCTACACATGCAGCGCCACGTTGGTGTTCCACCGCGACACAGCGCGAATGTAACACGTCACGTCAACGTGCCGACACAGATTCCACTCCAATGCCGCACGAGCCCGAAAATAAGCATGGAGACAAATCACGAATTTAACCCGATACGGCGGTGACGCTCTGGGCAGGTAGCAGTGGCACCGAGACGATGCCACGGCGGTGCTGGGTAGCCCACGACAATCCGTCAAATTGCTCAAATTGTGCTCTGTGCTCTAATTGTCCCGTGCGCCCGCATTCTCATCTCCGCGGCCCGCTGGCTTGCAGCAAGCACCTGCAAATGCTCTCGGTTCGACTGGGTGGGGGTGGCGGCTGGCTGCAGGCCGGGGTGTGACGAGACGATGGGTCCCGCCAACGTTGCTCGCGTCCACAAGAGAGTTCGGGCGGCACGACCCGACGCCTCGGCCGTAATTGCGGCTCGTAGACTCCCTCGGCGGAGGCCGAGCGCCCCTTTCTCTCTCCCGAGCAGGCGGCACTGTGTTTCTTTTGTGCGCTGGCCGACTCTGAAGGTAACAAAGCTACATCTGCCACCGTTCGTTTGTAGCGTGTGTGGTTTTTTTGTTTGTTCTCTCTCTCTCTGTGAGCGCGTGCCTGCGCGCGTACATAAGAGTCCCCCAGATGGTGGGCGAGCAATGTGTGTGGTGGCTGCCTCGCTACAATGTGATCACGGCAGCCGATGTTCAAGTCCTGGGCGTACGCACCAAACGAGCCCTGAGCCTCCCTGCCAAGGTCAACTCTGCCTAAAACGTCCATCTGATGCGGTGTGTCAACACACTTGATTCGGGTAGACGGAGGCAGCTCAGCATAGTGCCGATTGTACCAGCAGCAGCACTTGTCCCTGCAGTCAATACGCATACGTGGGGATCTTTGTCTTTTAGTGCCTGTGTGTACGGAGCTCCTGTGCGCGTACGCATTATTGTGCACACATTGTTGTATATTTATATTGTGGGTGTCTGAATCCCACTTTTGCGACTGTAGCCATCCCAGGTTTGGGTGTTTTTTTACTCAGTGGCCACAAAAAGTCCATGGTGCAATATTTAGTAATTCGAGGCAATTAGGACTCTGGGTAAAATGTTGCTTATATGAAGAAAAAATATGATAATGGCCACCATGTATTATTACCCCGAAGATGAGGTCAAAATCAAATGTTGTCACTGTATTGGACTTAGCGATCACAAGAAGGCCGAGAACAAAGCTGCACGCTCATTATTGAATTTTAGGATATGACCTTTTTTGCCACTGTTGAAATTTCGGACATGACATTTTTTTTTTTATCACTCGATGACTTCAAAAACCCCCGAGAGGAAATGGTTGGCTCTAGCCCCCTGGGTATACTGTGAGAATTAGTCTGTGATATCACGACATGGCAAGAAACAAAGAACATCACAGGGTTTCAAATCATAAGTACGGCCATGCGTGTGCACTGATGCAACATACATTTTTTAAGCCCTTTGTCACTCCACTGCTGGATGAAAGCAGTCATGGGGTCTTGATTGCCCACTGCTCCACCGAGCCGGTTGGTGAAGAGTGATGGGTGGCAGAAGGTCGGTTGCGATCTCACCACGGAGGTTCTCCATGGCCATACATCGAACTCACGTCGCCAGGTTCACAGAGCAGCGCACGAACCACTGCGACACCACTCAGTACCACGTCGCGAGGGAAATGCCCAAAGAGGTCGTTGGTGTTGTTGCACACTCTTGTGAGTACAGTCCATCACGAATCCCCATCGCGTGCATGTGGAAGTCGCCTCTGTACGCGCCATGCCCCACGGCTCAGCGACGCGGTGCTGACGGCCTCTCATCCGCTGTTTACTCCGCGGCACGGAGCGGACATTGGTAGCACCCCGCAGGATTAATGGGTACGCCGCAGTGAGTCGATGTGCAGCGCCCGTGTGTGGAGGGCTGGAGAGTGTGTGTAACTCCCACCTCTTCCGTGACGTCTGGTCGGCATGGAAGAGGAGGCCAAACACATTTGGAGGGGCTGTTCAGAGCTCCCTCTAGTGGAGGCCCTTCTGGCAAGCAGTTGCAGGGCTGCACCTTTACCTTTTAATGTGGAAAATTGTAATTATATCAATGATGGTATAAGGCCAATGATTGAATTATTATCGTTGTTATTGTTATTTGATAAACGCTCAATGCTTATCACGCGTAAACATTGTCGATGGTTATCAACCATTTATAAACTGACTTAAACGTTGGCACCTGCGGTGACAACGAAAGCGCGAATTTGCTGGCCGGGGCCGATGATCTCGGGCTCTGAGCTGGCCTGATACCTTGATCGTTCATGGACACGTAGCGTGAGCGAGCGAGTGAGTAGAAGGGTGAGTAGCAGGGTGCAGTGCAGGGTGAGGCGAGGGCTGATGGGAGGATGCATGAGTGCAGTGGGAGTGGAGAGACAAGCAAGGGGAGGGGGGGGGGCTGTTGAGAGCGGGGAAATAACGGGAAGTGCAGAAGCGTGTGGGGGGAGGGGGAGGGGGGAGGGGGGTGGGGGGTGGGGGTGTTGAAAGGAAGGAGGGAGGGAGAGAGCAAGAGAAATGATGAGTGGGGGGAAGCGGGAAAGGGCACAGTGATTGGATGGGCTGTGATAGCAGAGAGGAAGGTGATAGGGTGTTGTGAGAGGTGAGGCTAAGGGCACCGCATGGGAACCGATGTGCTCACGCGTGATGGGACGAGGGCTGAAATGAAGGAGCGTGGTGGTGGCGGTGGTGCTAGTGGTGAAAGAGGTTTTTTTGTGGAACAAAGAACATCTTGATCAAAGTACAAAATGAATACTCATTGGTGGCATCTTCCCCTGCGACTCTTATTGTCAATGGGGTTTGACGGATCTCAAGTTCTCTCCGTTATATTCAGATTAACCCTCGTTTGCAGAGTTGCATCGGTGAGATGGGGCATTGGTTGCTGCAATCAACATTCTATCCCACTATTTTCCCGTGGATAAATGGAGCGGAACTTCTGAGTACCACCAAAGAGTCCCAGTCGATGCCAAAAACACGTCACAGAATGTTGCGACGCACCAATCGCGAACGTCCACGTTGTGGCGTTTGAATAGATACAAGTGTTGTATAATTAGTTAACGTTTTCATCTTCACAAGTTTTTACAATCATCAACAAAACGGACCAGATCACGCGGGGATGCATTTTCAGCAAGTCGCTGAGCATGTGAAGCTGGTGTTATACATCTTCAAATGATATTGCATTATCATCGTGTAAATATACCATTCACCCATGTCCTTTTGAGCACTGGGCCGCGGTGCTCTTAACTCGGTTACCTGCGGCAGGCAATCCACATTCCTCTGGCAAGGACCAGGCGGTAGAAAATCCGTCGTTGACTCCCTGCCGAGTGGTGGTCGCCGGACGCAACTCAATTTGCTGACCCCTGGGGGATGTGGAATAAGTCAAACCGGACCTGATTTGAACGCACGACCTCCGGAGTGGACGCCTGCTGCCCCACTTACAATTGACCGTGCGTCTCACGTTTGGTGGAGTGGAGCGGTGATCTGCGCCACAGAACCCCAGGGACCTGAGTTGGATTCGCGGCCGTGCCTCGCGTTCGCGTTGACTGATACCTGCATCCGTCTTGGGCTCCGTAAATTTAGCGGTGATGGGGTGAAGTATGGTCAACCATCTCCCAAGAGCCAGCCTTGTAGCGTGACCTTGTTCAAAGCGGGGGGGGGGGGGGGCAGACAGAAACTCAAGTGGGTGTTGGTGGTGGTGGGGGGGCGGTTGGGGGGGTATTGGGAAGACAGTCAATGTGAAACATCTTTAAACAAACGTTAAACGCCAATCAGAATGACTCACGGTTCGATTTGCTTCTGTCTATCGTGCGATCTGCTCCGACGCTCACCTCGCCGTGTACTTTGGTGAGAGGCTGCGGCATCCATCGCTCGATTGCCACTGGTGGTCAATATCATGCCAACGTCTCTTTGACTGGGCTCGCAGAGATTATGAGAGGGGGCGGGGGGGGGGGGGCTTCAGCATGGGAGGTGTCAGCCCCCTCCAGCCCCCACTCACGCTACGGGACTGGCATGACTGGGCAGGGCATGAGGTGCCCTTCATCCAGCAGTGGATTTACAATGGGCTGTAAATGATCCGTGCCTATTGAAAGTAAACCCTTCCACGTGGTTCAATCCAGACTTTGTCCATTATGTGAAAAAGGCTCATGTTGTGTTCTTTTTTTCACTCTCCGCCTCACAGCGAGTTGCTCGGTGAATCTGTGTCAATAGCAGCGGTCAATCTCCCTTCTCCGGGACCCTGCTGTGGGCCTCCCGCTCTGCCGTGAAAACCAAAAAGCAAAATGACCCAGGCGGTTTGTGTGGTTGGTGTTTTTTTTAGTTGTTCACGTTTTCGTCCAAAAATTAGTTCCACCTGAAAACTTTAAAGAAACAAATCTTTTGCTTCTCTCACAGGAAACGTTTTCAGCAACATCGAATGCGTTGAGCAATATTGAAGAGGCGAACGTATCTCTGTTCTTACATACGTTACCGGGATGGTGCCTATCATTTATTTGGTGGCACCCCATAAAGCGGTGTAAATTCCACAGTGCTATGGGCGAGGCCAGATCTCTCCTCCACAGGAGAACTGCTGCTGACTCACCCACAAAGTGGTGTCCGTTTAATCAAAACCACACGGATAATGGACGAGCACTTTGTCACAGCATGATGAAAAATTATTTTTTAAATATATTTCAGAAATGACATTATTTAATCTGGGAATAATTATGCAATAATGACAATTGAGCGCAGTGAAATTCCCCGTCGCCAGGACCCTGTCACAAATCAGCTAATTTACGGATAAGAAAATATTTCATCCGAATATCTGTGGGAAAAAAACATCAACATCTGCGGCTGCTGTAAGCAGCACAGAAGCTTCTTCGGGAACTGAACTGAGCAGCTCCCTTCCTCTTCCATTACTGAAGAAGGCTCCCAGCGCATGGAGCAAAACTTCGGACATCGTACGGATCGACACGTGGTGCAACCCCAGAGCACGTGGGCGAGAGCTGAACAGCACAACGCGAAGACCTGCGCAGTAGCGTAGAGAGACTCGCCATGGTGATCATCGCCACCATGTGCAATTTGGTCAAGCTCACGGCTTGACCCCCCTTACTTGGCAAATGGGTATGAGCATAACCATTCGCGTAAACAAATGAACAATACGTCCAGAGCTGTGCATTGTACGTCCCCTAAAGATGCCACGTGATGCACAATTAATACATTTCTTGGTCAATCCACAGTCCGCAAAAACTGGTATCTGTCCGAAGGAGGTCGTGGCATGGAAGTTGTTGTGTTCTGCCTAGATGGTGGCACTTTGTGGGAAATCATTTTTTTAAATCCTATACAAAAAAAAATCTGTCATAGGAATGTTGAAATTCAGCAATTGGCACAGAACCACCCAGAGGACTGCTCCCCAACACTTGGTGATGTAGAGAGACAACAGAGATCAGTACTTACATTAGACATGCGGAATAATGTTGTACTTTATTTTCTCCTTAAAACTGTTTGAGCGCTTTGTTTGTATGTTCTCTTCAGCGGACAGTAATTCAAATGTGTGCATTTCAAATACTTTACATGAGATGCCTATAAGTCTTGGAGAAATGTTGTCATGCTACTTGTTTTACTGTATTTTTCTAAACAACACATACTCGGCTTCACTATTTCTTGTGCACACACCACCCGAGGCACAAACAGTGCGAGTGCTTTTTTTGTTCGCCGTTTCAAGCTCACACAGCCAGGTGCAAAACATTTTGTCCCATCTGTCTGTGTGTGTGGATTTTTTTCCCTCCCCATTTCTTTTTTTTTGTAAGGAGACAACCGCTTGCATGTACCAACACGCTGCCGGGCAGCGTGCTGGTGCATTATTTAGGACCAGCGGGGCAAGCAACGCTGCCAGCAGGTATAGACAGCATTTGATGTGCACACCGATAAATCAGCACCTCCTATATATAATGAGAATTGCCTGGCAGCACTCAATCTCGCTTCCCCACGGCAGCGCAGCCGTCAATCCCCGGCGGGAGACAAAAGAGTGATCGGCTGACCCTGTGGAAGGCTTCCCGGTGCCTCGGCGTTATTTATTTATTTATTATCTTGGCATTGGAAAAGTCTGGGATTGATTCGAAGTCGCGGGGTCAGATCGAGGCCTTGCCAGAAGTGATCACTGGCCGTGGGTTTCTCACAAGCGGCAAGATTTTCTGCCTTATAAAGAGTTGCTTCATCTGTCGTGTCCCGGAGGCAGAGATGGGTCTTGCTGAGGACTCGAATAAAAATCAAATGGAAACTTGCACGACGCTCCACGAGCCAGAGGCTCTGAAGGCCTCAAAAAAGAAATGGCAATACCAAACCGACCGACTACATAAGCGAGTGGGGATGTCCTGTCATGTACTGAGGCCATATTAACTCCTGGCGTGCGTGTGTGCGCGCGCACTCTGACTGGGTGGGACTTACCGCCGCTCTTTGTCTGGGCAATGCTGCCTGACAAAGGCGCCCTTTTCCCGCAAAAAGGTCCAATCACAAAAAAATGGCAACCACTAGAGACAAGAGTGGTGAGAGGTTGTGAGTCTCGTTCAAAAAAAAATTCGCGCCGTTGATTAAAGAAGAAAAATTACAGCCCCCGAGCTGCCACGGGTCACGTTTTCACTGACGCGGGGACTTGAGGAGTCAGGACGCTTGTTCGCGAAAGGGTGCGCAGAGAGTGTGCGCTTTGTTAACGCTCGGTGCAAAAGAAAAGCTCTTTTGGCTGCATCTCGTTCAGAAGGCTGACTCAGTGGACAGGCACATCAGTTACAAGTTGAACGTAAAGATACAGCCCAATTGCAATGTCTCGCTCAGACCACTCCTGGTGGTAGGGCATGGGTATTTGGTCTACTCTTCCACGTTGGCCAGACGTCTTGGAAGAGGTGGGAGTTACCCACACTTTACCGCACAGCACGCGACCTGCCGATCGACTAACTTTGCCTATCCATTGACACTGCTGGGTGGACAGAGTCGATGAGATTGAAGAAACTTGCCCCGACTGTTGCAACTGCCACGTCCAGTCTGTGGACGGGTGACGGCTGAGTTTTAATCCGACCAGGAATCTCAAATCTCCCTCGGCAAAAAATTTTCAGTGTCTCACTTGACTCTCAACTGTGGCAACAAAAAAATATATATTCCCCTCTGCTCTCATATTACTCACTATTCCTATTAATCCGCACACCAACATTGACCTGCGGACCTTCCATTAATCTATGCATCCAATCTTCCTGTTAATCGCACCTTTGGATGGACAAGGTTATCCGGAGGTCACAGTAAATCCATCCTATTATCTGCATTATCTCGAGAAGTGGTTTGGGAATTATGTGATTCATCCTATAATATGCAGGTAACTGTGGATAAGAGAAGTAACCCAGAACTTGTGGAAAATTCATCCTAATATCCATAGAGTTGACCTGATCTGAATTGACCTGAAAGCGGTCTGTCTGAATATCTCATGCAACCTATTGTCTGTGCACTAGCGCAGATAAGGACAGTAACCCGGAAGTGTGAGAAAATGTTTCCTAATATCCACGTTTTTTGCACTTGAGTGGAGTAGTTTATATGATCAACATTCGTGGATAAATAATAAAAAAGTAGCATCCTCCTATATTGCCCCCTCATATCAGCATGAATAAGCGTGTCATCATGAGGTCATTGTGGGCTTTCCCACACCTCCGATTAGCACGGTTGGCTACGTACGGTGCAACATAATTTACACACACTATTATTGTTGTACAGGTGAATACTGTGCTATAAATGGAACCTCGTGCGCCTCTATGAACATTAAAATACCTTAAACATATTAGGCAGGCGAGATGTATCGTGTACAGTAATGTAGATCTGTGTGTTTTTGTGATTACGTAGCACGGCTCTCTGAGCCCTATTTTTTTTAATGCCAAGAATATTGCAAACCATCACCGAGCGTGAGCCGACGTGAAATTAAACACCCAATCTCACGAAACGTTTACATCTCCAAACTGCTGTTGAGACGACCGCAAGGGTATGACGAATGACATTTGTGTAGTCACCTCGTGCGAACGTCAGCAATAGGGCACACAGCCAAGCTAACATGCACCTCCACGCTTAACGTGCTGCTCTTGTTTATGTATTTCTCAAAGTGGGGGGTGGGGGGAGGGTATTGGCTGGGTGTGGTGAGGCTGGCAGTGGGTAGTGGTACAACCTCAGTTATTGGCCTGGCTAATTGACGTTGGCCGCTAGCGGCGCTGGGAGCAGTTGGTCGCATCGACTCTCACCGGCAGTCGTCCGGATCGCCCCCCGTAAGGTTAGCAAAGGTTCCTGGGAGCACTCACTTTTATTAATCGTACGCGGTGATGTGATCAAAGCTAACCCGGTCAGTCGCTGGATTGATATCGCACACCAGCGGGGGGACAGCGAAGGCGGGTGGAGTTAATGCGTTCTGCCTTGTCCATGGCAGCCACTCCGTCAAATATCTCATCTTCATATTAGAGAGTTTTTGGAGGGAGAAAAGAGCCCCCGGGCCCGGGAGGAAATCAGAGTCAGGGGGTCATGACCCTGGCTATCGATCAGCTGATCGCGTGCCGGCCCTCATCCTTTATGGCAATTGTTACATTCCTTTCCTCTTAGCCCAGGTCACGATATTACATACCTGCTATAATTGCAATCTG